CAGGGGGGGCCTGACGCCGGCTGTGAGGCCACTGGCTGGGGCTGTCCGGGCTATTGCTTTTCGGAAGAAGCAGGAGTTTGTGTATTTTCACTTGAATCCCCCAATCTGTAAGTGAAGGAAACTAATTTCACTTTTCCGGGACAGCTGTGAGCAAATTAAGCCTGGCCTGGGCGGTCCGAGCCGGGGGCCCTGGGTCACTGGACAGGGCAGCGGCGGTGATGCCCACGGTTCCTGCGCTCACTGGCCGAGTGTCAGCAGGGGCTGGCCGTCCCACGTGCGGGGCGAGGTGACCGCCACGTGCCGGTGGCCGACTTTGTGGGCTGTCGGGGAGCAGTAAGAGGACACCCGCGAAGGGGCTTTGCAGCTAAGTGGAGATCAGCCGGGGCCGGTTTGCCGTGCCGAGGCCATGCTGGCCGCCAAGCAGGCGTGGGGGTCGGCGTGGCAGAGGCCCCTTGGAGCCGAGGTTCGAGGCCGTGCAGTCACGCTGTCTTGTCCCCCTCAGGCCTTCCTGGAAGCCGTGGCACAGGTGCTGCTGCCAGCCCGTTGGCCCCACGGCTCAGAGGTAAGAGGGAAGACGTCTTGTCCCGCCCAGACACGCTGTCTTCCTGAAGTGGCACGATAGGGCCCCACTCACCACCGCGAAAGAAGGTGATCGGCCAGCAAGGCTCAGCCGCTGGCCTGCACCGGGCTGTGTCTGTCCCGAGCTCCGACCCTCCGTCATTTGCCCGTGTCCTTAGCACCGGGGCCTCTTGCCATCTTGATCCAGGGGACCCCAAGCACACAGGTGACGTGAAGGCCCTCCATCTGCCCACCGTGCTGAGTGCGAAACTCGTGAACCACACGGCTCAGCCCACCGGTGGAAGCCATCAGAGCACTGCATGTGATTGGCCGCGTGTGGCTGAGGGGTTGGGCACGGGCCTAAGCGATCCCCACAATGGCCTCAGCGCTGTTCCCAGCTCCACGGGCTCTCGTGACACGTGCGCTGCACGTCAGGCCGTGGTCCGGGCAGCCACTGCCTCCCAGGGTGGGAGAGAGGGAGCAGAGAAAGCGGGGAGGTGCCGTGCATGCTGGAGGGCCAGGGCCGTGGCCCGAGAGGGAGCTCGTGGCTGAGCCTGAGGGCCTGAGCTGGCCTGGAGGAACCCCACCTTCCTGGGGACTCGGACTGGGTGGGAGAGTCCTGGGAGAAGGATGGGAGCACCGGGCCTATCAGGAGGTGATTGGGGTCCTGGGACCCCCGGGGTACCCTCCCGTCGTGGAGAAAGGCTGCATAACCTGTGTCCTCATCTCCGGGGCCAGGGGTGGTGAGGCTCTGCCAGTGACACAGAGGGGACATGGTCAAGGCAGATGTGCTGGGGCGCCTCAGGGGGTTCAGGGTGGAGCAAGGCCACAGGCACCCAGGGTTCAAGTTCAGACATGCAGGAGCCGACAGCCTGGGGACGGCTCAAGCCCCACGAGTCCACCCTCGGGCCACGTCCCCAGCCCTCGGTCCGCACCCTGGGGCTCCACTGGGCCGACGGCCTCCCTGGTTGTCCTCACTGGACCTTTCGCTCGGTGTGCCGGTGGGCAGCGGGCGCGGGCAGGATCTCACACACCTCCATCATGTCGTCCAAGGACAGCGTGGTGGTGCCGGGCCTGATCGACGCCGTGGACACCGTCGTGGGCCACGTCTCTTCCAACCTGCACCCCAGCGAGCCCCAGGTAGCTGTCGCAGGCCAGTCATCCCTGGCAGGTACTGTCGGCAGTAGGTGACTGGGCAGGGGGAGGACAGGGAACGTGGCCGGCCAGGGTTTCTCCCACACTGACCCCACATGCTGCCCACGGGGCTCTGGCGGGCCGTCCCCTCAGCAAAGCGCCGTGCAGGGCCATGACAGCAGGAAGCGGGGGCCGGACGCAGCAGAGGGCTCGGTCCCACGTGCTCACAGTACCTGTCGCGTTCCATGGTGACTCAGGAGCCCGGCTTGTGCGGCGGCCACTCGGCTCAGAGCAGGACTGGGGTGGGACACCGGCTCTGGGACGAGGGCAGAGCTCGGGGCCCTGGAGGCAGGGAGGCTGTCTCACGGCTCATGCAGGCAGGTGCCGCTGCCTTTCTGATAAAGCCCCTCCCTCCCCAGGGCGCGCTGGCGCTGTCTCGGCCGTGAGGCCACGCCGCCTGTTCCCGTTAGCTCAGAGGCAGCTCCTGGGGACCTGCCCACCACCACACTGCGGTGCTGCCTGGCTAGTGTGTGGGGCCACGGAGCTTGGAGAGGAGCCGCTGCCTGGGCGCATGGGGTCTTGCTGCCGAGCTGAGCGCAGCACCGGGAGTGGAGGCTGCGGGGACAGGGGCCGCCCCAGGAGGAGCCCCACTCAGTGGCGGGGGATGGTCAGGCCTCCAGGGCTTCCAGAGGGTGTCCCACTCCCCAGGGCAGCTCCACCGTCCAAACGGGAAGAAGCAGTGGGCTTTCAGGCCCTCCTGTGGCCCAGGGGTGCACCACCTGCCCTGGCTCTCTCCACAGAGTTCTCGGTGGCCAGAGTCCTACCCAGGACCTTCAACTCCAGCCACTTCCGCTTCCCAGCTCAGGGGCACAACTACATCGCTGTCCCCCACGAGGCCTTCCACAGCCATGGTGAGTCCAGCAGGCTCCTGGCCTGGCCTCGGGTGCGGGGCGGCCTCGGGTGCAGGTCTCTGCAGGGCCTCCCGGGCCATCAGCAGGGGCGGCCCCGCCCACCTCCTGCCGTCCTGCGGGGGGTCTCTGGCAGGGTTTTCAAGTGTGTCCTAGGTCGTCTCAGAGGTTCCCGATGTCCCTTATCCCAGGCCCAGAGTCCTGGAGCTGGGTTGGGGCTGGCCCTGGCGAGGCTGCCCAGGAAGCACAGCAGTGTCCCCATGTGCTCCACTCCTGGTCGCCGATAGCAACAGATGGACCCTGCGCCCTCCTGCCAGGGGTGGCCCAGGCCAGGGGGTCGCTGGACTGTTCGGGAGCCCTGGGTTCTATCCCCGTGCCTGGGTCACGTGATGAGTGACCTGGGAACCCCAGTGCTCGCTGGCCTCGGGGGGCCCGGGCCACTCTGGCAGGAGTGCCGTCCTCTGCAATGACCGCTGTCCTCTTTGGCCCTGGAGAAGAGCATGGCTCTGCAGGCTTCGGCCACCCCCTCCCCTCTGGGAGGGCCGCCTGGGTCCTCAGCCCTGACTCCTGCCCGAGGCCACACTTCCCAGGGCTCTGCCCTTGCGTGGGCCAGGCCTGCCAGGCAGACTGCCCTGAGCCAGCACGACCCCTCCCCTGTGTGTCCTCCTGGTTAAGGAGGTGTAGGTGGGACAGGTGCCCGACAGGCCACCTTCCCTCTTCTGGGCCCTGCTGTGCGTGGAGGGGCAGGCGTGGCTCTCTAGGGACAGCCCGACAGGAGCAGTAGGGCCCAGGGACACGGCTTCCTCCCACGTGGTCCGGCTGCAGGCCTGTGAGCAAGGCAGGGCAGGGGTGGGGGCATGGCTGGGCTTTCTCCGGGGCCGGGCTCTTCATGCTCAGTAGCAGGTGTCCCTGCACCCTCTTGGGGCCAGAACCCCAGCTGGAACCCAGTTCTGCGCTCCCTGGTCACATGGTCTGGGGCATGTGACCTCGGTTTCGTCATCTGAAGACCGAGGATAGTATTAGTGCCTGCCTCGCCCCATGGATGGGGCTGGGGGTCAGCCATGACAGTGCTGGCCAGTGGTAATCCCAGGTCAGACGGTTCCCGAATTTCAACACGCCTAGCGGGACTCCCTGCAGGGCGACCACAGGGGCAGCTCGTCCCACTCCTCCACAGGCTGTGGGGACAATGGCAGTGGAGCTGTGGGTAAGGCCAGAGCCAGGCGAAGGCGCGAGACACGCAGGCAGCCGCATCTGTGCACAGTCCCACACCCGCACCCAGTGCACTCAGGCTCTGCCCGCCCATCTCCGCACGTAGGTGCCAAGGCCTGCCCGCTGCAGCGCCGAGGCCAGGTTGCCCTGTGGGTGGTGTGCCACGGCCGTGCGGCGCCCCGGGGCCGAGACCCCTGTGGGTGGTGTGCCACGGCCGTGCGGCGCCCCTGGGCTGAGACCCCTGTGTGCAGCAGAGCTCACAGTCCCAGGGGCAGCACTGTCGGGAACCAGGGTCTGCACCGTGGCCGGTCTGCCCACCACCTGGCGTTTCCCTTCCCTCTTGGGGAGCAGTCGTGGCCGGGTCTGCCCACCGTCCCTGCCCCTCAGGGAGCTGGGGCAGGTGAGAGGCTGTGCCATCTCTGACAGTGTCCCTGTGCTCCCAGCCCGGACCAGCATCGTGGGCCTGCTGTACCACAGTGTGCACCACTACCTGGACGACATCCAGCCGGCCAGCACGCGGTGAGTGTCACGGGACGCAGCCTCAGCACCCTCCAGAGCCGGGACGTGCCTTAGCGCTCGTGGTTCTCGGGGAGACTGGAACACCAGGGCAGCCAGAGGGCAGGCCAGGAAGGCAGGAGCCGGCCCAGTCAGCCAGGACTGTTAGGTACACGTGGGTGAAACTACTCCTGTTACCTAGGTGAAGGCCAGGGAGCTGAGGGCTCGTGGGAGAGGGGATGAGCATGTGGGTTTCAGGCATGGCTGGATCCAGGGGCGGGAGCACTGTCCAGAGCTAGCCCCTCTGTCCCCTGCCCTGGCTCATCCCAGGCCGGCCCCTCAGCAGGGCGAGCTGGCTCCTGCAGCTCCAGGCTCACAGGGTCCGTCTGGGTCCTGAGAGCTCGGAAGAGAGCCAGTCTCTTTCCGGGAAGCTCTCTGGAGCCTGGCAAGAGCTGTGATTGGCCTGTGTAGGCCACCTGCCCCTCCCAACCCCACCAGTCACGATGGCAAGCGGTCCTGCTCCCACCTCGGCCATCGGCCCCACGAGCCCAGGCCTGGGTGTGTCGGCCGCTCAACTGCAGGGAGATGGTCCCCACGGAGAGGTCGGTCGGGGAGGAGCTGCCCCGAGGGTCCCTGCAGGGTGGGCAGGCCCACCTGCCACACTCCTGGCTGCTCCTGGCTGCCCGCATAGCGCTTGGCAGGGGCAGGCGTCCTGGGCCAGCGCGTCCTGGCCTGGTGGGCCCAGACGCACCTGAGTGACCCGGCGACCTCCGGCCCAGCATCCTTCCTGGGCCCGGACCCGAGAGCCGAGGTATGAGGGCGTCTGCAACTCTGGCTCTCGGTTTGCCGTGCTGGACGCAGACAGCCATGGCGACTGGCTGGCGAGGGCGATGGACGAGCAGGGGCCGCCCGGGGCC